CTCCTTTATAAAAACTTACTTTGATCTTGTCGCAACTCGTGTACAATGTGAATGTCCATTGGTCGATGGATATTGCCACCAACTACAGTGTAATTGCCTCCACGGAGTTTGTTGACCGTATTAATAGTTTTTGTGTTCCAATCAGTCCAGTAAAGCATTTCTTCAAAAACAGTAATTGCAAACGGATGACTTACAAACGTTGAAAGGAACGTCATGTTGCTACCATCAAAATTAGAGTACCTGAAATACACAAATTAAAAAATGAAAATATATTTATTGAAGTATAATATTATTAATCTTTTATTTTTTTTTAATACACTTTTCAGTAACTTCCAACTTGAACAATTTCAGCTCATAGGTGTGAAGGCAAGTATCTTACTAAACTATATCTTTAGGGCACATAGAAAAATTATTAGAATATCACTTTTTTTAAGAATATTTTTATTGATGAAGGAGGGACTGTTTTTATTTGGCAAGAATATTGTAAATATTCTAAAAAACTGGTTTAATTTTATTGTTTTTTTAAAGAAAATGTATTTCCAGTCACAAAATTGCATTGTTTTTTTTATGCTGTTGAAATAAATGATGCAGAAAAATTCTTTTTTTATTCCTGCATCAATATTTCCCAATTTTTTTAAGCTGGCGGGAGTGACAATCTAACAATTTATTCTATGTGCCCTTACTCTGCGAATAATAATACAAAAAATATTTAATATAATGATAATAATAATAACATAACATTATTAATAACAATAAATAATACAATAAAATTGTCATAAACATACCCTATGTGATTAAGGTGAGCATCAACCCAATACAACTTATTAGTTGCATAGCAGATAGTGAGTCCATTTGGCCACACTAGTTTATCCGAATGGATTTCACTAGGATTACTTCCATCCATTCCCATCCTCCCAATGTAAGCGCTTAGTCCCCAGTCAGTCCAGTAAACATATCTGAAAGAAAGCAAAATCATAAAAAAATTCATACTGTCTATGTTAAAATCTGGGAAAGCTCTCAAACAAATAATTGAAGTGTAGACTAATAGATCAGTAAGTGGATGTCTTCTGCCCCCAGGGTCACTTCATGTCTGTGCTACCTGTAAACCAGTACCATCAATTGTCACAGTCCACACTGGGGCTGTCTAGATGAGTACACTGTCACTAGGTTACATACTTGTTCTGAATGATATACTGGGTTCTTTGAAAGTGCACATGAGCCAATTGTGTACATTTGGCTTAGGGATTATCATCCTTATTTAAAAAGAGTTGTTCTACCCCCAAAACATGGGCACGTCTACTGCTCGAACTGACGTCGATATTACAGCTGTATGTTGTCGTGCTCCTGCCTTAACAGCTCAAACAATCCACAAAGAAATCTCACCCATTCCGTGGGTCCAATGCTATAGCTCTAGGCTCAAATAGACCTTCTCGTTTTAGAGTTTTCCTTAATGATCCATCCAATTCTGCAACCTCCACGACATCATAGGTACGGTCTACCCAGTAAATTTTTCTGTTAAGTAACAAAAATGAAAAAAATATTGCATCATCGCTATTTTATTTTATTTCTATTCGCATCCAATACCAGGGAGCCTGCCAATTAGATAATGGAAACACAAAATAAGCATAACAAATAAATTGAATAAATCAGGACAAAAAAATGTCTATAAAAACTGAACTAAAGCCCAGTCTAGACCATATTTGACAAAAACATGTCACATGGCTAAATAGGATCATAATGACATCACAGCATTACCATATATAGAAACATCATGACTATATATGTGCATGCAACAGTTTTTCTATGTCAAAATTAATTTATTCGTGTGGACGTAATTTGATGTTAAATTGTTTCAAATATTAAATTTTATACCTTGCAACCCAGTCCACAGCCAAGCCTTCGCCGTCTGCTACATATTGATCAATAATTACTTCTACTTCACCACTACCATTCAAGAACATTCGGTATATTTTATCGTTTGAAATATCAGTGAAGTAAATTCTGCCCTCTTTCACATCAAAATCTAGTGCAACTATGCTTGTGTATCCTTGAGTCACAATTCCTTGCTGCCTCGCATCAAGAGTAATGTTGCGAACATAGTAACGATTGCTGAATAATAAATACGGATCTCCACCTGAAAGAAAGCACATTAAAAATATTTTCATTTAAGATGTAATGTTGAGTGGTTATAATCATAGCAGCCACCTAATAATCACAAATTCTTGGGTGGAATACTCTCAATTCCATGATACTATAATATACTAAGCAATTAGAATAGTTGCATACCATACACTAGTGGAAATTATTCATATGCAGGTTAAATTAATGCAAGAAAAAATTCAATTTTTTGAATGCATTAATGTAACCTAAGTTTTTAATCATTTCATTGTATAGATAAGCACAAATAAATAGTCTAGTTTATAAATATACACCCTTTACTTCCATTATAGTACAAATTATTTCTCACGGATATACAAACCATTATTCATGAAGTTCCTGAAAAATGATCTTACAATACAAATACCCTTTTGCAATTTCCAATATACTGAAATTAAAGTTTGCACATATAAAATTGATCTTGGCAACTAACATCAGTTTACATGCAATGAACGTTCTCATTCCTTTGTTCCTGTTTAGAATTTGTAATTAATACTGTATTGGAACAGGCACAACATGTCATCAGATATTTACTGTCACAAGTTATAAAAATATGTTTACACCCAATCAACAAATAGAATGATAAATAGTTACCGCTTATGTGTTTGCATTTGGCACCGTTGTCCTCTGCAGCATAACCTTCGACACATCTACAACTGTAAGTTCCGAATGCGTTACTACAAATCTGGCTGCAGACCCAAGGCGTTTCCTCACATTCATTAATATCTACTCAACAAAATTACAATAACATTCACAAGTCAAAAATTAGTAAAATTGGTTTTTTTTTCTTCTTTTTAAAGTTGGAATATTTAGGTACTTTAATATTTATTATACATTATTAACAACAATCCTAACAATAACAATATAAATAACAAAAGATAAACAGTGATGTTGTTAGTCTATGAGTGAAATACTTACCTCGATAAACCGATAAATGACAAAGTTTTCTTTGGAACTTACCTCTCGCCTATATACGCCCTGTGTGAATAGACAATATCTAGTTTACTTCTGCTGTAGAGCGATACCGGTGAATTGAAAGAAAATCTTACCCATTCTATGATTAGAAGTGTGTTTGCTTCGTGGTTCTGCAGACTGATTTGTTTGTGCTAGTGCCCATTGAATAGCATTCCATAGTTACTCACCATTGATTTAATAGCATTGGATAGTTACCCACCATCATATGCAATGGTTTATATAGCATTGAATAATTACTCACCTTCGCACGCTCTTCCATCAGCAGCTAACTTGTAGCCATCTTCACAGGTACACCTGAAGCTAGTGGGAAGGTCAACGCACCCATGTGCACACTGATTAGCTGCTGCATTATCACACTCATTAATACCTATAAAATGACATTCAATAATTTTGTTTTGCAACATCATACTGCAACATTTTACAAACTATCAAACTATTATATGTATGAATAACTGTTATTATATTTTTATATCATAATTATAAATTACAAATACCATAATAATATATTAATACATATATTATATATTATTATATATTAGGATTTTTGTGCATGTATATTTTTTTCCTGATGTGAACTTACTGTGAATAAAACGAACCCATTTCCAACTTGCAACAATGCCAGCTGGAAAATGGCTATTCCCATTCCCTCCGTGATTCAAATTGAGGGTGAAAGGTAAGATAAACATGGAAAAACTAACTAACTACTCACCACAATGTTCTTCATCCGACTGATCTTGACAATCATCTATTTTGTTGCAAACAAGAGTGGCACTGATGCAATTTGTGTTTCCACACAGAAACTCGCCTGCTGGGCAAAATGGAGCCACCGTAGCTAATAATAAAAAAAATATAATAAAATTATTATATGATTCATCCCATTTTTTTAATATAAAAAACATATTTTAGCTATCATCATGTATTTTTTATAAACATAATGTTTAAAATTTCTTTGGAAATTATTCATAACTATTTGCAAGGAAACAGAACTTTTTGAAGGCAGTTTTTTTACCATTTGCAGGACATTTATTCGTGAAAAGGTCCTGATTCTTAAATATTTTCAAGGGATGGATTCATAACTATTTGCATGGCAAAATTTATAACTATTTGCAAGGCATAGATTAATGACAATTTATGAGACATAAACAGGTACAAACTCCTGCAAAAGCAAAATCTGGAAAATATCCCATGTACCACAAAAACTCATGATGTTTTCAAACAGTATACTGCTTTATTATTGTCTCCTGTTCAGCTGGACATAGGTATCACAGCATGCAATGTAATAGAATTAGATGAATTAGAAGATCATTAAAACAGATCTCCCAAACAAGGCTTTTCTCAAATTGAGGACACCCCTGTATAGATTCATAACTATTTTCAAGAAATTCTTGACTTTTTACAAGGCATCAGATTAATTTCTTACAACAGTCTGCCTCATCACTTCCATCTCTGCAATCATCAAATCCATCGCACTTCCATGATGAAGTTATACACCGTCCATTATTACATGAAAACTCGATTCCGCTGGCACATGTATCGTAATCTGAAATAATAATGGTAAATATGTTTTATGTTCAAGATCATGAGTGTGCCTTTAACATTTTGAGGACTACCTTTATAACCTTTATAATCTTAATTAAAATACTATTATAAATCTAAAAATAGTTTCAATAAGTTGCACATACATTCAAATACAATACATAAATAAATAAAGTTTTTAAATTTTAGATTATGGTTACTTAGAATGTAGTGAGACTTAAAATAAAGATTATTGTTTAAAATATAAAAAAAAACTCTGAAAATCACAATTGTGCAGAAAATATATGCGTGTGTATAGGTACACTGTATATATATTAGGAAGTAACATATATTAGATTCTTGTATGAGTAATTCAATGCTTTATTATTTATGTGAAGTTGTTTTGTACACCTACTATAATTGTAATTAGTTAACATTCCAATCTAGTTTGGTACCAAGTATCAATACAATGAATGAATGTTGAACTTAAATTGGTGCTTCTTTGAGTTTATTTTTGGTAACAAAAAATAATTGTAAGCACACACAATAAACAATGCCTGAGGTGCTTTCCAGATTTTAACACAGAAAGTTTATATTTGAATGAGATAACAACTTTTAGAAGAAGTATTCTAAAAGTGGACTTACCACAATCATTTCTCTCATCCGATTGGTCCCCGCAATCATTATCGTGGTCGCATTCCCAGCTGGAGGGTATGCAAAGTCCATTAGTACATGCAAATTCACCTGCACCACAGCTCTCCCTCTCTAAAAATACATTAATTAATAATACAATAAATTAATCAATAGCATAACTAATTACTCATTTCAAAGCAATTCACAACATTTTTACTCATGTTGTAATATTGTTCAAATATGACTAGGGGAAAAAAAAGCATTTAAATTCAATTTTTTTTTTGTGATTTTAATGTGATTTGTGTAAAAAAGGTACATAAATATGATTTATTTTTTATACTGTATTTGGTTATAATAATTTCATGAAATGTCCAATGTGTTTCATGTTATGAGACACTTAAGGTTATCATTACTATCTAAATAAAAATAACAGTAAATAAATGAAATAGGTATATGAAAAATCAGTTGAAATGAGTAGCGTTACCACAGTTCTCTTCATCTTCAGCATCTTCACAATCACTTTCTCCATCGCACTGCCAGCGATTAGGTATGCAGCGACTGAAGCCTGGCTTTGGTATCTGGCAAGTGAAGTAACTTGCACCACATGTCGAAGATGCTGAAAATGTTCACAAAAATACAAATATGTTGTTTTATTATGTACAATAGAACATACTATAATAACAATATAGTACAATATATACATACAACATTGAGGTTTTCAAATGCGATAATAAAGCATTTATACATATATATATATACTGTCTCTTATACACATCTAGATGTGTATAAGAGACAGCCCTAACCCTAACCCTAACCCTAACCCTAACTCTAACCCTAACACTAACCCTAACCCTAACCCTAACCTAACAAAAATAAATTAAATTTTGACTCAACTTTTTAACATTGTCAAGATGTGTATAAGAGACAGGCAATATGAATAAATGTAGTTGGCAATACTAGCAACGTACAGTGCTTGAAACACGTGATAATGCAGAGCGTAAATATTGAAAATGTAGAACTTGTAGAACTTGGTATAATCACTCTACAGACTGTTTCATGCTAATGCGATCTTCAGGAGTAAGACAATACAAGGATTGTGTAAGTATATGAATGCTAAGGCAGGTGAAAATGCAAATGAGTTAACTGTATTTGTTGTTGTGCCTGCATTTAGACAATAGCTCGGTTCTTTTGTTTAGTATTGACTGTTTGCCTGAATATATTATGTGAAGTTTCTCGGTTATGCATAGGTTGAAGCGTTTGGTTTTTGGGGAGTAAGCCGATGCTCTGTCGATAATAGACCATTTGATATTGTAGGGTGTGTTGCTGTCTTTTAATTTCCATACGTATTTGGAGAGTACGGTGCTGTTTCTGTGTTTGGGGGTGTTAAAAGTGTATTTCTGGTTTGTGTATCGGGTTTTGATATATATATATATATATATATATATATATATATATATATCTTTTTTTTAATATATATATTTATAATTTGCTTATATGATAAGCAAATTGCAGAAATCATGAAACAAAAACCATGCAGATTGATATGGAAATATCCAAAATTGAAGAACTGAAAATAAAACTGATTTTACTCTGACCAAACCAAATGCTGTATAATGTGCGCCAGACCTAAGCTGTTTTACAAGCAATCACAGACTTGTTTGGACAAAAACTAGATTTGAAACTAGAGAAATACAAATGTGTGTAATGGAAAAACCTTATATTAATATAGATAAACTACATTAAAACAATTAAAAGTTTCAGGCAAAATAGAAAAAAAAAATAATCTCATAGATGAGCTAAATTATCAATATGCAAGTACTGTGTGCGAACATTTACCAGTATAATTCAAAACTTCATCGAGACATCAGGGAAAATGGATCCAAAAACAGACAAAATTTTCAAGGGAACCAAGGAAAATGAAGAATTTAACTAATACATAATTTAAAATACGGTATACTGAATTATGCAAAAACCATATGATAAGGTATGAAGAACACAATTCAATTCAAGTTTTATTTCAAATATCCATTGTAAATATCAAAAAATATAGTATTACAATACTGCATAAAAGCAATATCAAACAGAAATTTGAAAAAAAAAAAAGAGATGGAATGAATGTCCACCTGTCATACAATTTTGACTCACATAGCACATTTAGCCTATTACAAATAGCCAAAAGAAGCAGGTTATTACTGGCAAGCAAATGCTGTTTAAACTTAGATACAGACACACGAATATATTCTAAAATGATGGTAAATTGTTGTTGATGAACACACCACTAGCACTACAATGATGTGGCAATCTTAGCAGCATCCTAATGCAATTGTTGTAGCACACTTGCAAACATTTCATTGTAGCCTTATTAAAGCAAAAAATGCTGAATAATACATATTGATGCAAACTGACCTAAAAATCAGACATGTTATATTATTTTAACATTTGGACAATTTTCTGCTTAAAATATTACCTCTAATACTGACGTTGAATATCTTCTCCATCACTTTAAAAGTAAAGGTAATAATAAATAAAATAATTCACACTATCAATACATTTCAGTAGATTTCCCACTAATTAAATAGGTAGCACTCAATGCAATTTCATTTTAGTAATATTAGTAGAATTGATGAGCACACACATAGATTTTGTTATAAATGAATTATAAATGATAAAATTATTTTCAGCATGTTTCTCACACATTATATATATGCCTGCTTGACTTTGATTTTTTATTAGCTTTTTATAATGTAATTACTTTTAACCTAATTCTCTTTTTGCTGTAAGTTTTTTATGTTAATATTGTACTAATTCAGCTTCTGCGGTGATATCTTTAAAATAAACCTTGAATGATGAAAATGATCATCCAGAAAGCAATTTTAAAATCTCAAACAAGCAGAAGAATGACTCACCTCTTCGAAGCAACAAATTATAGCCTTAAAAGAAAATTACGAAAGTAGATTTTTCAAACGAAAACCCTAGTCTTTAAGCGAACAGAAAATTGTTACTGTGCCCTTCAAATATAAGTCCAGGTTAGCCCTACCTACCTACCTACCTACCAAACAGCATCATGCATCATCTGCAGTTGCTGCCTGAAAGGTTAAGTTAACCACCTAACTATGAAAGAAATAAAAATAATCTCTTGTAAAAGATGTAGGCCAAAAACACATTGATTAGATGAAGGGAGGAAAAAATGTAAAGATGAAATTGTTGTTGACATCTTAAAAGATCAAAGAAAAGTTATCATTGAGCAACTAGCCAAGGTTTTTACCTTATATATTCAGACATACCTGACACCAGACGGAGAGTTGGGACAACAGACGTATAACCTTCATTCACAAGACCTAAAAACCACTGATTTTTCCTACAATGGATCATCTTCATACCATTATAAATCAAATCATTGAATAATCAGATGAATACAGTGAAGCCTTACATGAAGGATTTGCATATTATCGCAAAGGATCGGGAAGTATTGACATATATGCAATACTTACTGGATATGTTAAAATATTAAATACTATATAAAGCAAAGATACCGGCACTGCAACAATCAGTCTACACCAGAAAAGTGAAAGAATCAATATTCTAGCCAGGGAGAAAGTATACCACCTCAACTATTCAATTCTATATTTTTAACAGAAGTTACTCGAAGTGGGAACTCAAAGGCATAAATATACACAGAAACTTTCCGTATTTCACACAGACAATGCAAAAAATCAAAAGGAAGATCCGAACAAGAAACGTAACCAATGAGGTATGAAACATATATGGAAGGTGAGGTTCAATGCATTTCCAGAAAAACAAGAATGGGAATCAGTGCAATGAAAAAAATCAGTGCAATAAATCCGGTTTTCCCCTGAACTAGTAGTATATTATGAATCACAACCAAATAGATGAAGTAGAATGGAGTACAAGAGCTGGATGGCATGCATATGGCAGTCAAAATGACATCATCAAGACCAAAATGCTAATTAGCTCAAAAAATTGCATCCTACCAGAGCAACTGATTCAATCACAAAGAAGATGGAGAAAAACTTTTAAAAAGCACAGCATTGAAAGATATATGCCAGAATATATAAAAACAGACAAACAAACAAATGAATAGACTAGAAACCAATAAAATTCATCAAATAAACAGAAATAGTACGAATTTTCGTCGAATATTATTTTATTTCGACTGGTCTGTAAAATAGACTTCACTGACAACGAAAATTAACGTAACCATAATGCGTTAATCAGCGTCAAGTTATGCATGTGACAAAAAAATATGGCCGATTGGTCAGTTTAGCAACAATATTTGCGTTAATATAATTTAGATTACATTTCTGAAAATAAAAATTACAATATTTACCCACATTGGAGTCAAAAAATAATTGTAGGCTAACAGAATTCAAAAACTGGATGAAAACATTTATTTACAAAAAACCCATACTGCCACAATCCGAAGCAGCCTTGAATACGCAGCGTGTATCGCGGTAACTATGCAGCCATTTTGTTTTGTCGAGTATTTACCAGTTTTCTATTTGACTGGTCGTCTTTGTTAAGTAGGATTTTACCACTGAGCAGGTCGGTGCGGTTTAACGAAGAACGACCAGTCAAATACGGCCAATAAATGTATTATAATGGGAACCATGGTTAGGGAAAGACGGAGGTTACAATAGAGTGAAAAAATCAACAAGTTTACAGGGATAATTTGGATGAAAAAGGCAAGAAACAGAAAACTTTTTTTGCAGTAAGCTCAACACGGCTGCTGATGATTATAACTAAATCAAATTGATGGATGGATTTATTCAGTGAAAGTCTGAAGAAGAGTGCTCCAGTGGAGTCCTTCTGGTGGTGATTGGGCAGCACACCGGGAGACAATTCTATACAGTTTTCCCAAGAGTGTATTGCGTTCTATAATGTGCACATAATTCACATGGGACCATCGACTCAAACGCCTCATTAGAAAGATGGTGCGGTATTGCAACTTGCATTTCAGCCCTCCAGCTGAAATATGAGAGCAACGATAAGAATTGAACAGGGGCAAAGAGATTTCCATCGTCCAGTGCACACACAGTGGCTACTAGCAGTTTAGCCCACTGAACTAAGCTGCTCTCATTAAAATTATGCAAATACTTACTGCAGTCTACTTCTGAACTGTCCTCATCCGAATTATCTCCGCAATCATTTTCTGAATCGCACACCCAACTCAAAGGGATGCAGCGGTTGTTACGACAGGTGAAATAACCAGTATGACAGGTGAAGTCAGGGGAGTCTGCAAATAGATGCATACACTTGTAAATGATAAATAAGTTAAATTATAAAATTTTTGAGAAAATATATAAAGAACTAGAGCAGCACTCTTTAGACAGCATACCCCCATAATAATACATGCAGTACATTTATGGACAATTCCATTATTTTTATTTTATGTTCGAGTGGTAGGCGGGTTAAGGACAATGTTTGTATCCGTATTTGTCTGTTAAATGTTGTACTGAAGTCGGCCACTGCAGCTGTTGTGGATCCCTAGGGGCCCAGCCCAAAAATTCTGATTTCTAAATGAATGAGGACCAATAAAAATATTACTATTGAAACCCCCGAGTCTTGACTTGCGCTTCCCAGTCACAAAGCTACATCTCTGCTCCAAACATAGTTACAATAGACACAAAAATGTATGTATCAAAGACATAAAGAAGTTATTCACTACAACACTGAAAGTGATTCACTAGACAAAAGAAACTATGGAAGATAAAAATGCAATTTATACCACAGACACCAACTGGTTCATCACTCTGGTCAACACAGTCGAACTCATCATCACAATACCAACTACCAGGATAACAGCGCTGTGAGGTGTTACATCGACGATACGTTTCAGGACAAGTATTTAAGCCTGCAAAAGAACGGTGAAATCAAATTTAATAAATATAAATAATGTAATGTATAAAAATATAAAAATTATAAATAATAAAAATATGAATAATAACAATTAAATGGGATATCTAGGCAACTTGAGGACTGTTACTTATAAACATTACATATGTCTAGGTGGGCAATACCATTATCCTAAAAAGGGAAACCATCATATCCATATAAGTATTCAGGAAACAATAATTAGCTGCATTGCGACTGTTTATGTAGTTTGGCAGTTGATTGATTGATTGAATTTATGAGGTTCAAATACAAAATACAATAAAATGCGAACGAACAACAATCTCAAAATACAACAATAAAAGCATCATAAAAATAGATGAAGTCATGCAACAGAAACAAGTGAAGAAAATGAGCCAAAGATAATTAGATAAAGTTTCACATAATTAGTGAAACTTATTTCCATCTAAGTCCTTTTGACAATTTAACAGAAACAGTTTAAAGTAAATACTTCAGAATCGATCAAATCAGGCTTGCCGTCCAAAACTAGTGTACTGTCGCTAAATGTTACACTGAGTAATTAGCATAAGAATGTGGCAGTATTGTATACTTTAGTACAGAGAAGCTGTAATACTTTTACTCATAACTTTGGTAATAGTAAGTCTATCTTCTTGTGACAACAACTTTGGTAATAGTAAGTCTATGTCCTTGTGACAAGAAGGGAAAGACTAGTTTTGTCTTTTGGAAAAAGTTTGTTGCTGTCTGACATCTTCAGAGATTTTTTCCTCCCTATCTTCAAGTGACTGGGTCTCTTAGATCAAACCGATTGCTTGAAGTTCCCTTCTGTAGAACCACAAGAATGAGAAATTCATCTATCCCTACTATTGTTAACTTGCTTAATCAGCATCATTAATTATTTGATGGTGCTTATTAAGAAAGTAACAATTTTTTATATTAATCCTGTCTAGTGGTTGATAAGTTGCTTGGCCTCATCTATTTTTTCCTTGAATGCAGTTTTTTTTTTCTATGGGTGTTTTTTTTCTATGGGTGGTTTTTATGTACAATTTTTGTTGTGTTTTTAATTTTGTATTTAAAACAATTTATTAATTTGATATAATTCATATTTTTATATATTTAAATTTTCCATATAGATTGTATTTTGAAGTCATTTATGTAATCTTTTGGTGTTACTATTGAGTCTAGTAATTTTTTTAAATGTTATTTACAATCCTAACATAAAATTATGGACACCAAAAACATTTCTCCAAGCCTTTTAAGGACTTGGTTATAGGGCAATCAAGGTCTCAAAATGGTTGGACGTATTTTCCAAGCCTCATAAAAAAACTTGTATGTGCTCGAAATATCAGCTGTGCAAGGTTAAAGAAACATTATAACAGACTTACTATACCTAGCAATAGAAGTAATAAAATTAACATATGAATTATATAATTATTATATAAAAGTATAACTTACGACAATTATCTGGATCTTCGTCGAAGCCATCTAAGCAATCATTATCACCATCACAATAGTGTGTTTCATGAATACACAGATTGTTGGAAGGGCAACGGTCATAGTTTGTTGGGCAGGGTTCTGGCGATGCTTTAAAAGGAAATAATTACTTTACATTAATGGTGACAATGGTGACGATGACAATGATGCATACCTACATATTTAAAAAGCCATTTTCGAGTTGAAAAAAATACTCACCACAATTGATCTCGTCAGTAGCATTTTGATCGCGACAATGGTTGAAACCATCACATACAGCAGCTTGACTTAAACAGCGCCCACTTGGGCAGGTAAATTCCTCCGGAACACAAGTAGGGAATGCTACAACAAACACAAAAATTGTACATTAGTAAGGGGCGGATCCAGAGATAAGATAAGACAACTTTATTGTCCAATATAAAAAATGGAAATTTGATTCCTCTTTGGCAATATATGACGTATAAACATATAAAAATGAATAAAAGCACATCAAAGTACAAGATGAGATAAAAACAATTTTTAAAAACATGATAGAGAGCACATGATTCTCAGGCGTTAGTTCCTCGGTTTACCACAAATATAAAACTCTAAGAGTTAAAAATACAATAAAATGACAAAATTAAAAACCGGTGCAAGAGTCAATTAAATTTGCTGCTTCTTAAAATGGTTTAAAATTAAATGTTAAAAAGGGATAAGATATTAAAATTGATTAAAAAAGAGTAAGTACTAACGTATTGCATATTCATTAATAAAAAACTGATTCAGGTATAAACGAGTTGCGGTATCTAGAAAGCGATGTCCAGGGGGGAGGGGGGCCGGAAGGAAGCCGAATGTTGGGCTGATGGAGATAACAACAACCTAGAGCCCTGGTATTCAACCTCTTTAAGCTGGGGGAAGTTTCAATTTATTGAGACCACCAGCAGGCTGATAAATTTTACTTCCAATTTTTTTAGATGTCAGCCCCACCTACTTTATAGGCTTACTGACTAGGTCTATTATTAGCTTTGGTTTTTCGACATAACTAAGATAAGCCTTGTTTTGTAAAAATGAGGCAGCTGGCATAGGGAAGGGTGAAAGATACAACAAATCTCCTACCCTTCTACCACTAGAAAATTTCCAAAAAAAATATACCCTCATGTACAAAGTATTTAAAAAAAATGTCAGCACCAGAAAGTTCCCAAAGGAGTCAGATTCCCTTTCCCTTGATGTACCTCAGCTCATGGTTGGGGCTGAGGTAAACAAGTTTTTTTAAATAAACACCTCAAAATTGCACATTCAGACTGTAAAGACACATCAAAGCAGTGTTTTAAACAGAGTGACATGCCCACAAGCCTGCTCCACAGATCCGCCAGTGGCGCCGCTAATGGTTAGACATTCATCATATCAGTGATCCCCACTTAATCATTTATCCCCATCAGTCTCCCTCTTCATCCATTGGCATTAGGACAAGAATCACCAACCCGTCTCCTCTCCCCATGGCAAGACACTAGATAGATATAGTGAGCTACACTAAGAAACACTAATAATGCCAAAGTAGTCATGTTTTTATTAACAGAAAAACTTTTCTGTAAGTGTTGAAAATCGGACGAAAAATTATTATTTTTAGGGATCAAAATCTTTGGCGGCCAGAGTTTTTCTGCAAGCCGGGGGTTGAATATTGGGGTCCTAGGTGGTCCAAGGGAATTCCCCAGCAAAATTTCTGTGTTCTAGATGCCCGAAAATAGCATCTGAGGCCTTTAGGGCGATCAATTTTTTATTTTTCTACTTTATGTTTTATTTACTTTCAAAAAGAAGGGGGGGGGGTGCTAGGGCCCCACCCTCTGTTAGTAACATCATTACCAAAATAAGAATGTCTATTATTGAATAAGGTTGCACCTCCATCTAGGTACTGTATTGTGTACATATTGTTATCATTAAGGTATTATCATGAGCATATGTTTCTTTACAACAATATCACTTACTATATTACTATTATTCATATTATTAAAATTTATTATTATTCATATGACAGATACAGTTGTAAACTTTATCTTACTTGTATATACTGTATATATACATAAAAAAATATATAATATATTAATGATACTTTATTTGAAACATCACAATAGATAATATTAAAATAAATATAACCATTCTACTGAGACATCTTAAAATCAAATAAACCATCATTAAAATTAACAGAAAAAAGTGCATCATAGATTTTCAATCATTACTGTAGATACGCCAAACTGAAGGAATAAAGCATGTTAACAGCAGACCGCAAGTAAACTAAATCGGGAAACTTACGACAATCAACTTCATCACTGTTATCTCTGCAATCATTATCAAAATCACAACGCCATGAGTATGGAATGCACCTTCCATTACTGCAGGAAAACTCTGTTGCTTCACACTGATGGAAAGCTGAAAAAAATGATCATGATTTCATTATGTCTAATGTCAATATAGTAATACATAAATCAAAGGATAAATGAATGAGGATGTATACTTGGCAGCTAGCATTGAAATATAGTGTTTTGAGGTGGACAGTTCTTCTGGGTGTTTAGCAGTGATGGCGCCAAGATCTGCCTGATGGAGGGACTGAAGACTCTGTTGGGGGGGGGGGCCTAAATGAGTGGAGCTGGCATTTTGGCTGTGGGCAAATAGAAAGGCTTGCAAATTGTATATCTAGATGATTACATGACCAATTTAAAATGGATTACCAACTCAGGATAACTAAAATATAAAACATGGAACAAACCACCAACCAAACTTTAACTAGCAAAATTGTGACTTACCACAGATGTACTGAGCCTCATCAGATCCATCTCCACAATCATTGTCAAGATCGCACACCCAGGACTCGGGAATGCAGATTCCATTGTTACAATAAAATTTACCAGGATCACACGTAGCACTTTCATCTGTTAATAATAACAGCAATATCAGTTCATCTACAGCCATGTTGTACGGAACACAACTTGTTATAACAATAAGATTTTAGTTTCCTCAAAAACAAATACAGGAGGAGGATAAAGCCAAGGAGGAACAAGGTTTCTGTACAAGGTTTCTGTACAAAGTTTGTTTGTAATTTTATCAAGCTAAATAATACTGGCAAGGCACGTTTTCATTGAGTTATTATAAAGTATAATCACTAGGGTCCATTTCATTATTTATTTGGTTTGCCATGCCATGTTTGTGTCATATTGTTTATGGGAAAATAAGGTTTTACAAGGTAGTTTCCCATTGCTTTCCTCAACCTGGGTTTTTGGGTGTTTGCTTCCCTTTGCCAGAGCCTCATTAGCCAGAGATGTTCATCTCAGTTCAGCACAATCAGGAACAAAGAGGACAGAAATACAATAGAACCCCTCCTTCGGGACATTCCTATTAAGAGTACCTGATAGGATATGAATGTTATAAAATAACATTTGTCTCTTGAAGAGTTAACAGCATAGCATGATACTTAAGAGAGCAGCAGATTATCAATTGTCAATGTTTGTGTATCCAAAAAACAGGGTAAAATTTTTATCTATTTCTTGGAATAGTTTTCAAGATAGATGGTATATTCTACTACTGGGCTATTATAATTATTAATTACATAAATATAGTATCTTGTAATATATTATCTTTATAGTCTCTTTTCGCGCTGCTACCAACGAGAGGAAACAGTCACCATTAAGAAACTGTATGTGAAAGCTTTTACTACGATAGAATGAGAATTCCGAACTAAGCAATGCGCATGTCAAAGAGTATCTCCGAAATATATATGGAAACACTGTGAACATGGACAGTGAGCATGCGCACTGAGTAAGTGATGTTGTTGAGCATATGCAGTTTCCGATACGTCTCATGAAATCATTGAGAATGATCAAATACCTAGCTAACCAGTCTAAAACTGAAGCATAAAAATCGACGATGATGGAATTTATCTATAACTCATCCAACTCAGCCAGCAGAATATTAAAAATATTAAAATATATTTAAATAAATGAATACAAATAAATAAATTAAAAGATAATAATAATAATATTAATAACAACCAGAACCCTGCTGGGGTGTACGTTCCTTTGTACTCAAAAACTAAACACAAATTTGGGAACTGTGATAATTAATAGTCACCAAATTCATTCATTGCATTTTGCCAAATTTGAAACTAATTGGACTTTTCCCTTTTGAAACAGAGTAAAGCAACACCTAATGAGCAAGTATGCAAGAAACTAGATCTCGAAATGATGCATTGCATCGTTTAGCGTCACAGCTCCAAAAAAAAATCAGGGGGATGGGGGTTAATTTTACTTTTCCGCATATCAATATTCTTTCTGCACGCATCCTAATAAAACTTGTTTTAACTAAAAGATGACAAGAAGTCTTTAAATGAATTACAAAAAGTTGAGCACCATACGCTAAAGCAAAATACACTACAAAATAAACTTGGTTTAAGCCTAATGTATATTTGTCAATGATTGTAGATTGTGAGACCTGTTACTTAACGGCAAAACAATAGTGTAAAGTAGGCCTAGACTATGTACAGTCATGGTACAGTAGGCCTATTCAATTCTTTTTTTTGGTTGGGGGGGGGGGAATTTTTTTTTTTTAAGGAAAAAAATTTCAATTTATTTTAAACCACATAGTAATTAGGTCCTAGTGTAGAATATTCTTCCCTTCCCACAGTCTTCATATAACATTTAAGTCAATACACATATTTATCATATAATTATCAGAATAAGATATTTAGTAATCATTCAATGAATCGAATTGACTGAGAGCATACAGTAAATACATATAGTGTCCCATAGGCCTACATCACGGTCGAATTTGTTCAGGGAGGCCTAAACGATCCTGCCTAGGCCTAAGCCTACACCAACTGCCGCTGAGCACGTCAAAACGTCAGATAACAAAACATTTTGCTTAATATGCACTTTCATACGGAAAGACTCCCGTCCATTCCTATCTCTTATTAACTTCTGTAGACCTTTGCTACCGATTTGAAGTACCAAAACAGCATTTTCGCCGACTGTTGCAGATGCCTATAGCAATATAATGTTGGTGGCACACTTTATGATTGAATAATTTTTTTTTTAAATGATTTTTTTCGGCATTTGCAGGTCAAATTAAATGTTTGTTTGGCATATGAAAAATCAGAAGCGGGCCAAAAATCAGGGTCGGGCGGTGATGCTAAACAAGTATCTATATATATATATATATATATACATATATATATATATATTTTTACTTTATTATTGACAAATTAAAAATAGGTCAGCCTCTAGGCAAGGCCCATTGCGTTCTCTCTAATGATGGGACCTCGCACCCTGCCTAGGCCTAGCTATAAGAAGTTGGCTAGCGTCGCAAAAGAAAGAACTGCCGACTTGGGTTTTTGTCCTAAGTTCGTAGACTATTATTCATACTCATATTTGAATAGCACATACGATTGAGAAAACATAGTGATTTAAAAATATTTGTAATTAGTTTGAATATACTACAGGCGTTATTGCGATGAGAACAAAATGTCAGCAAACTTTTTCTGACGCATGCGCAAATAAAAATTTTTCCTAAAAAACGACACAAAACTGGTAGTAGGAGGTATATGTTTTATCGCGTAAACATTTCCCACACAATTACATGTTCACCAGTAATAGTGACCAGACATAGCATATGTTTTTTGACATAATTTAGACCCATTTAGCATCTAGCATATGTGCTGGCATAATTTTAAAGTTTATCACTTTTGTCGTTGCTGTCTACTTACCTCCCATATCATCCTTTATTTCAGGAAGGTTTTTGAGGGGTACCATAGTTTTTTGGAAGTATTTTTTAAATGTTTGTGTATATACAATTGCAATAGTAAATAAATCACTCTTCACTGGAAATAGCCTACACAGTATGCCACCAAAGCACACAGATCTGGGATATAACAACAATTAATTAAATTCTCACTGAAGAAAAAATAGTATTAAAAATGGCTTAGATTGCATTTTTGAAAAGGATCTTATTCAAAATTGAACATTTGAGGGCTTATCCAAAGGGGGGGGGGGGTTTGCTTAGGGGGGGGTTTGCTTATTCGAAATTGAACATTTCTAGCTTATGCAGGGGCGCTTATTTGAAATTGACCATTTGGGGAGCGCTTATTCGAAATTTAACATTTAGAGGGACGCTTATTTGAAATTTAAGCTTTGGAGGGGGGGGGGAGGGCGCTTATTCGAAATTTAACATAATTTAGCATAATTTCCCATCAGCTTTGGCGTAATTTTAATTTGCATTACTGGTCACCCTGCCACCAGTACCTCTTGGGCACAATGTATACCCGCCGCGAGGCACCGTTTAAGAGCCTATTTGTTTACAGACATATTGTTGAGATACATCTCATACACACATTTCACATCTGTATCATCCCAATAGTTTCTCTGTGACCTAAGGTCACAAAGGAACTAATAATGGTAGGAAGGTAGTTTGTTTCAATGCTTTCCATTCTAGTTGTTGAACTTGTCAAGAGTTCAAACCACATGCTGTCTAATCTTGCCAGTCATGATTAAATACCCCAACTTGCATTGTTGACAGGCTTTCAACTGGCTCAGGCTTAACAAATTACACACGTAAGACTAGAAATTGCAAATTGCAAGTGAAGTGCTGCGAAGTATAACTGCATATAAATGTTCTTCGAACAAAATTATTTATGTGAGTCAAGTGAAAATAATGAATAATAAAACTATAACAAATAACAAAGTCGTAATTTTTCATTTTTGTCAAAAAGTGTCTATAGTGTGGTGAATTATGGTTTAGGTTTTTTTTAATAAAGTTTCAAAAATGTCTATGTATGTGGAAAATGTAGTTGATTACCAAAGGTTACAATTTTTATTTTGAAGACTGCATGGTCTAGGAAGTGAACATTTTTTACGGGGCAAGTTTCCAAGGGCGGGTTTTCTAGGGGCGAGTTGACTGCCAAAGAGTGTTGCCAAAGTGCGAGCCAGCGTGTTATTTGATCACAAGTGCGAGACATAATCACAAGTGTGAGCCAGCGAGCCATGGCGTCATGACAATAGATAGAGACGTTAGCCAGTTGTGCGAGGTATCGCAAGCTTACTACCACCATTGCATCGCAGTGTAGGTATGCCTCGCATTTTAGTGGAAAAACCCAAGCTAGAAAATCATTATGTACCCGACAGTCGGCTGCCTTTATATCTCTTCAATTTGCATTCAAAGGGTACAATGTCTCGTGCTTTATTGGAAAAACCCAATCTAGAAAATTGTTATGTACCCGACGGTCGGCTGCCTTTATACAGTATCTGCACTTGTCTTCAGTTTGCATTCAAAGGGTACAGTGCCTGTCTCTTATACACATCTAGCAGTCGTTTTTTGACAAACAATGACCTTTCAAAGGTCAAATTGCTGTCAAGAATATAAATTGGCTGCTTCGCAGCAATAAGTTTGGAAATATCAACTAATTGAAAGGTTAAAGATGTTGTGGCATTTCTTGTTAGTTCTATGGAAGTGTTTACCACTGAAATGATCCAATAAAATTTTAAGACCAACAACTGCAAGCAGTGCTTCATTGGGCCCGGACTATGACTAAATATCATGAGATGCACAAACTTTGTTTTCATTGAAATACCTTATTACCTTCTATTGTTGGCATCACTTTACTAACGCTTAAAAAGTTGGCATCACTTCACTAACGCTTAAAAAGACAAACAATATGGTACAGTACATCCGACTGACTCACAACCATACGGAATGAAAGGAGTCGTAAGGTACTAAAGTGGTCTATTCTAGGTAACTGGGGCCTCTTTAAGGGGTTTTAATAGGTTTATGAAAAACGCATAATACATTTTTATGACTAACTTTCTACAAATGTTGGTTTGATTGTTGGGTAAAATGTTTTGGGCTTCCAAAAAATAGCAAAATTGTTTGACTTTTTGACCTAGGTCAAGGTCATTTGCCCTAAAATTGCAATTTAGAGGCCCAAAAAGGGTATTTTTTTCCCATAAACCCCATGTAAACGACAATAAAAAAATTCCTATGCTCATAAATGTTACGCATTACAGTATGTAGAATATGTTGTTTTCTACAGAAACGTGTTTGGTTGAATAAAAATTATGCTTTCATATTTATGATGATTTGTTTATGCCCAAGGTCACAAAGGTCATTGAGGTCATAATTTGGTGAACAGCGTCTATCACACACCCCCTCCCCCGATAGAGGGCAAGTAAGCCTAGCTAGGCCTACATATGCTTATTTCTAACTAGGGTGAGCTACTGGACCTAGGATATATTTCACTAAAACTAGTACACTTGATGAAATAATAATATAATAATAATATAATAATAATAATAGAGAAGATGGGGGTAGGGATATTGAAATATGAGAGGGGGGGGGGTCCATGTACATGACCACCAAACCCGAAATGAATGTTTGCAGACTAGGCCTAGCATTACTGGTTGTGCTGCTAAAGTTTCTAGTTAAAATCTTTCCTCAGATTCGTATTATGTATATTATTAATTAATTAATTAATTAATTATTATACAAACAATCCCGCTATCCTCGTCTATCCAAGTACATCAATCACTGACAGAAAAAATTGCCGATTTTTGCTCTATACAATCGCTAAGCCTTGTCCAGTTACTATGATGTTAGGGAAATCCCCTAAAAGAGTCAGCAACAGAGGGCAGCATTAAAACAATAGGAGAAATAGGTCCGTACCGTATACAGGTCGTGCATTCAGGAACAGTAAATTACTCAGTATGGGATACGGACCACGACCTCAAAGGGTTAATCATATTATAATGAGCAAATAAAATATTAAAAACTGGTAATTTATATGCACAGTTTTGGGTAAATGTAAATTGACAAAACAATGGAAAAAGTAATTATAAAAATTATATAAAATATATACCCTTCTATTTATAAAATAAATGTAAACATAAATTTGTTTTGGTTTCTATACTTAAATCAAAATAATACAAGTAAGATATTTAAAAAAAAAATTAAAATCTTATATTAAATGAATTGAAATAAATTGTTAATGAAAAAAATATATAATTAGTTATATGACAGTTTTGGTATAAACATAAAAAAAAATATGGGCGAAATGGTTTAGAGTAAGCTACAGGAAATTTTTAGATTGTCCCCTATCATTTTACTATGTCTAATAATATAGTCGTAACTCGGGCCAGTTGAAGATCAGTTGAATCGTCTAAAAAGACAACCTGCAACTGGTTCCACTTCCAACTCGTCTAACTAGAATTTTTACCTGGGATTTGAATTCGCTGTAATTAGAATTTTCACTAGACTTGATTTTCTATCATTTTCACAAGATGGTCCCTGTTTTCATTTAAAATTCTATCTCATATTTCAAAAATGAGATGATCCATGATTCATTCATTCGAACAAAAAATGAAGCATTGTATACATTTCAAACTGCTATAAATAATTAGAACAAGTTCATGGCATATGATAATTTTCCCAGATTTATTAAATATATTAACAATGAAAATATCTATGAAAAATTAACTAGAGCCTTGCAGGCGTCAACGTTCCTATGCATGATACATGACTAACCATATTTTCTGATTAAGTCATCATAAATGATATAATCAGAAAATATGGTTGGGTCAAATTTGTGTGGTGGTTGAAAAAATTCAGGGGGAGTCTTTATGGCCCAAAATAGTGAGTTTAGACCACATTGGTAATATAATTTGATAGGCAAATTACAGTAATATTTTTAGCAAATTTCTTTGAAAAAAATTTGTAGGCCTAGGGTCTAGGCCTATCTAAGTATACAGTATTTTCATTTTACAGTAACTTGGAATGATATCGGGAGTGGGGGAGCTGGCAGTGGCCTACTAGACTACAATTTATTTGAAAATAGCTTGGGCCCGATCGTCCACGCCAGTTGGGCCCAATCGTCTGTCACCCAAAGTTTTCATCACGATGATCAAGAACGTACACGATTTAGGCTCTAGGCTAGGCCTAGCCTTGCTGCAGTCACTGCCACATTCTTAAATTTTACACACATTATTTAAATGTATTTTACGTATTAGACGATAACACGATATCATTGATTAAACAATCTACCACCCTCGCATCACAGTAACTACTGTACTAAACTAGGCCTAGGCCTCATGTTTTTGTGAAAAGCCTAAGCTAGATAGTCGTTATGTACCCGACAGTCGGCTGCCATATCTTCACTTGTCTTCAGTTTGCATTCAAAGGGTACAGTGCTGCTTAGCCAACTGTCGGGGATATAGTACCTTCATATGACTACTCATACAACAGAAAAAAACGTCGCATGGAGGTAGCGAAAAATGGAGATCTAAATGAAAAGACGATGTATTTCAGCAAGCTTTTTTTTATTTTAGGCCTTCTTCAAAATGCCTATGCCTACAGCAGTTGATTTTTTTTTGTTGCCGCAAAACCAAAATAGTTTCATCCATGCCGACTTGCCGATCGGTTAGCGTGAGCCCTGACTGAACACTGCAGAAACTTCACATCAAACTTCGCATCACGAGGATAAACAAAATGTTGGAAAACTTTTTCTTACGCATGCGCACTTGCATAAATGTCACATACACACACACGCACACACACTACACTACAGTGAAAAGTGATTAGAATAGTTCCTATTGCATTACATGCATAGGAACTAAAAATTCAACATAAATACAATACAAATTAAACATTTCACAGAAGAATGAATAAAATTACTATGTAAATAGGTATATCATTATGCTTGAATGTGTAAAGTAGAGTTCTAAAAGTCAATCTAAATAGATACTATGTGTATTAAAAGGAAACAGAAAACTTGTGTCTAAGTACAGTGGCTTTAGCAGTCAAGGGCCTAATTTCTGGTTCATTGCCACCATCACTATCCGCATGCATTTTGGTAGGTAAAATGTCAACATTTTGGTGGGTAAATGGTAATTGCAGGGATTAAAAAAAAAACAATATAAAAGAAAATCCAGTTAAGGCTGCTGCTCATCGCAGGTGGAAGTGGCACTGCAAGCAGCTCTCTGAGATGGATACGTACACCTTCACGTCATTATTATTATTTATTTATTATTAAAATTATTATTAATGTCAAATTTATATTTTAAACCTTAAAAAGTGACCATTTGAGCCATAATAATATACAAGTAATATTAATAACAATACAGAAATTTTGTACCATCCATACCAGTTTTATTATTATAATTGAATCCCATTACAACAACAATCAATTTTTATTTTAAAAATACTTATATAATTGCAAATAAAAAAGAAAAACCCAGCTTGGGCAACACAAAGTAATATTTTTGGCCTATTACTTACCAACGCATGTTTTGTTGTTATAGACTAGCCTTTTCCCATCCGGACACGAACACACTGCTGAACTGCCACCAATTCCCGGAGAGCAAATGTCACTGCATCCTCCATTGTAAGTAGCGCAAGGGCTAACAGAACCTAAAAGTATAAACAGACATTGTATTAGAAGAATAATGTCAATAACCCTGTAAAACTCTCTGAAGTATTAATCAAAGCAAATCAAATCAAACTTTATTTGTCCATTAAAACACAGGTAAAATGGAAATTCTTTTTCCACTGGCAAAGAACATGAAACATCAAAAAAACATTGTAAAAACATTAAAACACACCAGAAGGACAACAGTGACTAAAATTTGGAAAGTTTTCTAACAATTTAAAATAATTAATAATCAGATTACATTTTAAAATGTAAAATTCGCATTGCAAGCGAATTAAAATCTCTCATTTTTGTTTGGCATTTTGGTTGAAGATACGTATTGCGTTAATTACAAATGAGTCTCTGTATCTGTTGTGTCGAATACGTGGAACATATAATCTAAAACCTGAGTGACTAAAACTGAAACAATGGTGAAGTGGATGGGTGTCATCTTTCATTCTACTTTTTGTAATATTATTTTATTGTATATGTTTACTATGGGTTCTAATTCCATGCCAATGCATTTTTAAGCTGCTTTTTTGATTTTTTCAAATTTCTTTCTGTTCATCATTGAGAAACTACCGTACTCACATATTATGCCAAAAACTAGTGGAATTGCACACCAGTGGAATTGCACACCATTGGCAATTCCAGGGAGTGGATAGGGTGACCAGCCACTCTTAAAATATCTTTAGATCCAGGCTAGGGCAATGCCTTTGATCTATTAATATAGACACATATAAGATATATATCTAATGGCTTATTTTTCTAACATTAGTCTACCACAACATAAAATCAGGTTTTGTTTTTTGGAAGGCTTAGCCCTTGGATCCTGATACTAGGGCTCTGTTGATAGCCTGCTCCCTGCCACAGACTCTTATATTAAATTAGGCCCCATTACTGAAATAACTATTATTACTATTATCATCATCATGTTTCATCATCATCATCATCATCATCATTTTTTTCACTAATAACACAAAAAAAACCTTCTACTGGCTATGCAGACACCCTAGCCATGCCCTAACCAACAGGGCCACTGGAGGCTCTGTTGGGAATTTTAAATCTCATTAGAAACAACTGAATTTTAGGCCCTATAAAAATATTAATAGCACTTTATCTAGGCTGGAAAAGTGATGAGGGAGGGAAGCTTATTTTGCTAAAGCCAAATCACCCTTGGGTTGTTTTCTAGTGCATTGATATTCAAAGTAAAACATGATCGAGAGATAATACAAACAATATCTACAAACTATTTCATTAAAAAAAAAATAATTAAAAAAAGAATTTTTTTGTCAAATAAATTTTTTTTTATAATTTTTTTTTTTCAAAAATATTTTTTTTCCCTGTACCATAGAATACATGTGTGCAAGGGTGATAAACTAATAATTCTTTTTATTGGGCCTTACACTCTTGCACATTTGTAAAATGGTAGTTCTTAAGGCATTACAAAATAAACAGAGATCTATATGATACACCCTCATCTTACTGTAAGCATTTTAAATAAGACAGGACTTCAAAAAGATATTTATTACAAGTAAATAATGGTATTAATATAGAGATAAACTCTATAAATATAATAGTATAGATAAACCATAAACCCTCCAGCAGTAATGCTATACTAATAACTATATATATAAATTTAAAAAAAAAATTCATATTTCAAACTACATGACAATATGAATTGACTAAAATGAAAATACAAAACAGTATAACAAACATACATGTATTTTAGCATTGTATCTAGTTTTATATACTGTATGGTAATATTTTGCATAATCTGTTTGTCACCATTGGATAATCTTGCATTGTAATCCACAGAGCTGTCAGTATTAATGTTACAGTTGCTATGATTAAGAGCAGCCATGCATCAATATGTCATAAACATAACAACAATAGTCATTGATTTTTCTTGCTTTAACCATGGAGTAATTATACTGTACCAATGTAACCCAGTACCGAATTATAGCATAGAACCTTTTAATCTTCATACAATTGCCAGTATACATTCAACTAATATTGTTTCTCATGGTAGAATTTATAATTAACTGGAATATATTAAAATAATCTATCATTCACATATTACATAAAAATATCATAATGTATATGATTATATAACAATTTTTATCGAATTTTTTGAATTTTATATGTATATCTGATGTCGAATAAAATCAAACAACAATTTGCATATGATGCACAAATAAAAATCACATATTACATCATGATCCTGTAAAAATATTTTAGGTTTTTCTACAAGAGAGGCATGGATTAATCGGTTTTCCTTGTTACTTCAATGCGTGATTAAGTAGCAGCCAAAAAAAGGCTGCTAAAACTAAAATTATTATTGGTTTTACAAAATGAAAATATTTTAGAACAGAATATCATATTTGTGTGGGTTTAAGATTGAATATGCAAATGATTAATGTAAATTTCATTACAAATTATTTTAATTAGAAACATATTCAGCTGTGCTATTTCAATGGGTAATCAAGGTTTGCCAAAGTAGAAGAAAGATACAAGTAACAGTAAATCACTAACATTTATTATGTTTTAGAATATCGTAATAGTGTGGGTTGTCAGAAACTTGTGTATTTAAATTATCATTTTTCAAATTCTGTTGGATGTTTTTAATAAAATAAAAAAAACACAAAATACAAATTTGAGATCACTAATGAATAATGCAAATTTCAAGAAAAATGATAAACAGATGCTGGTATTATTAGATATATATTTTAGCTGGCAATAATAACGATAGAGATAACTATTTCATGAATATTATGTCAACCTATAAGACAAGACATTAAGTAACACTATTTCAACAAACAAAAAAGAACTTTTTATAAAAATATACCAGAAAAATTAATTATAAAAAATTTCAATAATTACTGTAGTACTGTAGAAATATGATACAAGCTCCACTCATTCTTTCATTTCCAACAGACATCATCCCTGTCTTTCAGAAGTCCTAATTATTAATTATTATTAAATAATTTTAAAACGAGTACATCAGTAGGCAAAAGAAATATACACAAAAAATGTGGATATCTGTATTATAACTAGATGATTAATTATCTAATGTTATGCATATAATAATAATAATAATAATAATAATAATAATAATAATAATAATAATAATAATAATAATGTTGGTCTTATAGAGCGCCTAGTACAAAATGATGCTTCTTAGAGTGCTTTACACAAAATGAACTTGAGAAATGGAATGATGCAATAAAATGTCTTAACAGTAACCAAAATGAAAAATAAACACCGAGGAACCATTTTCACCGCTTCGTTCTACAGCACTTCTAAGCTCCCATAATTGAGAGCTCGCTGGAACAGAACTCACAGGAGCTCAAATGAAAATAGCGTCTGATTATCCTGTCCTACCAACAAAAAATGTAGAGTAAATTTTCAGGAAAAAGATGTCAATCAGATTCAATCAATGTTTGAGTTTAAACAACTACTATTAAAAAAGTATTTTTTATACAGTATATTTATATATTATTATAGTGTGTTCAATTCAAATGCTTTTATTGATTGCAACATACAGTTTGACAAATGGGACAATATCCGCTCAATATGGACGAATATAAAAACAATATAAAAATACTGTATATTATAAGAATGGTACTGGTAGGGACATAAAAAAATGACCTGCATGTCACAACCATATCATGATATGCAAAAATGTACTTATTCCTCATTAGAGTATAACTGTTTCACTGGGATCTCAACTTGAACTAATTCTTTGCTTAGAATTAATTGGACTATCCTAAATCTATTCACAATCAATATTTTCCATATCCTATTTATGTAATCACCTTGGTATGTCATTCTATTTAATTGCCAAATAGAGTAAACAAAAATAAATCAATAATAACTATTTAACTACCTACTTTTAACAATAACAAATCCGTTAAATTCTTCTATATGAAAATACTGTATATTATAATAATGTATCACAGGAGGGATGTCAAAAAATGACCCGCATACCAACATAACCAATATACATCATGGAGTATGAGAGGTTCTAATGACCTGCACAACCCTACCTAACCCAATTATGCATTCTGGGATTATTAAAAAATTCATAACTCCATAACGGAGGGTCATATCACATTAATTTTTCCTGGAAAATGTTCTTAGTGTACAGAATGTATAACTGTGACCGAGAATTATTCTACAACCACGTTTTTTTACTCTTTCAATTTCTGCTGATGTTGTTGTACAATATCGATTTATTCAGAAATGTGAATACAATGCCAAATTGAGACAAAAGCTCACACACAGATAAAAACGCATCATGAATAGCACAAGTTTGCCTGAGGATACTCGAGTCATGACCACTAAGTACAGTTACATCTTTCTTTTGTTCTCAGGTCAAGTGGCGACAAACATTTCACCAGTGTTAGGGTTTTTTTTCCCACTAATTTTTATAATGGTAATCATAGTTTCAAGGAGAATCAAGAGTTTAATTGTTTTGTCAACCATCTAGTGCTATATTATTATCCACTTTCAATTACAATAAAAACTCTAGTGTAATATTTCAAAGGTTAATAATTTTAATATAATGTTTTTAGGGGGGATTATGGAGGGGTCAAGGGGATGTTGATGGCATAAAGCAAGAATATGTGGCAAAGACAAGCCAAACCAGTCACTGGTCGCAAAAATCAATTTTGAGTTATTAATACAGGGTTAAAGAGTAAAATAAGAGCTATAAAATGGTAAAAAAATCATTTAAATCGGACATTTCCTTATGAAGTTACAAGCGTTTAATCACACAGCTGTTTAAAGAACAATATATGGAAATCAGCCTTCAAAGTTTATGATTTCAGGCATTTCTCATGCAGAAACTATCTTTAAATCCTTAAAAAGTGTTGTTTTAACATTGAAAATGGGGAAAATAACAGCATAGAATGATGTATAGATATATAAAGGTTAGTTTAGTGCAATAAAATAGATTTTTAACAATTTGACATTCCAGCATGTTTTGGCCATTTTCTCT